AATAATAATAATTTTTTTTAAAAAAAGAGGAGGACCGTAAGTGAGATGCATTGTTACTTGTCTGCTGACAACAGTCAGTAGGTTGTGACGAACGGCTCGAGGATTGTGAGATGGTAGTAGGATCAAGAGTGTTTTGTTCTGTTGAGTCAGAACTGACTTGATGGCACCTGTTCACAATAGACTTAATGAATCAGAACACATTCCTTTTCATCTTTTACTGCCTGCCATTTTCATTGCTATGCATATTTTGCAGCCATGCAAAGAATAAGAGTAACTATAAAATTAAAATAGAGCCTGTATGTATTTGTACTTCTGAACATTCTTACCCACCTTGTCTTTCAAAACAAGACCTTTATTTAGGCAGTGGGTGTGATAATTTACTGTTGTCAAACAAATGAAAATCTTAAAACCAGGACCATTCATATTTTCATACATTCTAATTCACCCTTCTTCCCATTTAAGTTCATATCCTCACCAAGGAAATTACTGCTGAAGGAGGCAACACAAGCAGAGTTTGGGTTCTAGTAGGCAGGAAATACTCCTGAACAAAATTTCTCTCAGTAAATTTATAGTGAGGATCCAGACAGGCTTATGGCATGGTGTTTTTTTTTTATTTTTATTTTTTAAGGAAGCTTTTTCAACTTCTGACTTCTGTTAAGGTTCTTCTGAATAAGGGTATAGTGCCCACCACTGTCTTGCTTTCTGCTCATAGAGTCTGTGGTTTGTATATTTAAAGTGCTCTTGTCCTTTTATCAAGTTTTTGTGTTCAAATGACGGATTTTCATACATAAGCACAGGTTCTGCATCTTTTTTGTTTATCATTGTGTCGTGCACTTAGTAAATACCACATGAATGTAACTTTGATGGCCGTTCATTTGACAATTGACTGTTGTTTCCTCTGGACTCAAGTGCTGAAAAAAAAAATCACCACCCATCCCAATATGACTCTTCTCCATTGATGCAGGCTTAGTAGACAGAATATAGTCTTCCGTTTCACCAGATCCATTAATCATGCTCTTATAAAGTAATGAAACTAAAAGATGTTGTGTCCTGTTGACTGTAAGGAGCAGGAAGGACACTTTGCTGTCTGGGGAGAATGAGACAGTGAATGGGACATTTGCTCAACTCAAAACAGCTTGATTCCCCACATCTAGCATTGTTCTTCTAGTAATAGATCCACAGGAAGTACCTGAGGTGTGGGGACATGAGTGGATGATTGAATAGACAAGAAAGTTAAAAGGTGCCACAGTACGAGGATGCAGTTTGTGTGCACATCATTCTTGTCACTGTGTGTGCTGCTGTACCGTAGGATACATGCACACTCATTCCCGCTCTACTGACTTCATTGTTACCTGGATTTTTTTTTACCTGAGTTTATCTAAACTTTCCATTTTACTCAGCTCCTCTTTTGTTTCCTAGTTATGATACATAGACTATTTAATGTATATGTTATAACTCCCAGTGGTTAAATAATATATGTGAAATTTTGTCTCTCCCCCCCCAAAAAAAAACAACTAAGTGACACAACTCCAGGAAATTTGGAAAGTGTTTTTAAAAATAAAATATTTCATCATCCCTGATACAAATACTAGTATAATTTGCATATGAAAATATTTTAAATATTTGAAATTATGTATGCAAAATTCTCTTTATCATGTAAATTGCTTTTTATGCAGAGAGGTAGAAAAGATGTTCTGTAGACTTCTTTTGCTTTCCATGTATGTGGCTGTTTTTGCATAAGGATTAGTAACCAGAGGCCTAAGATTCTTTCAGATAAATCAGAAGAGCTAATAGCAGGTGATTGAGTAGTCTGTCTTTAATTCTGAAAGCAGAATTCAGTGTTTAAAAATAGTAAAAAATCTTAACTATTTAAATGGATTGATGTCAGTAAGCAAACAGACTTGATGATATTGTTTCAGCATGATGGGGAGGTGTGGTGCTGTGGTCCAGAAGTAGGGATTGCACAGCCAGTCCCAAAGCAGTGCCTCTCTGGCAGTTTGAATCCCCCAACTGCTCCACAGGACAGAAATGGACCTTTTCCTCCCATGAGATTTACAGCCTCCAGAAACTCACTGGACAGCCAACTATGAGTTGATTCCAATTCATTCACAATAAGGTTTTATCACTTTTACCATTAAACTGTAATATATTTGTTATTATCATGGAAAGAAGGGGTTTTTTAGTACCAAAAGAATAATTTTAATGTTTAATAGAAAACTGTCATTTAAATATTTAATGGAATATTTTTTCCTTTGTTTTGCCTGCTAGAAATAGAACATCTTGAAATTTTATTTTAGTAATGATATTAGCCTGTATGATGAATCTATTTTCTTCATGTAGGTTTTCTTTCCCATTTTTTATTTTTATTTATTTTTTATTTTATTTTATTATTTTTGTGTGAGTGTACCGTCAAATCAGATCTGACTGGTACAGGAGGAAATTGTCCCTCCTTTCCCAGCAGAGCATCTGGTGGATTTGAACCATTCGCCTCTGGGATTGTAGTTGCAGCTCCTTGCCACTAGGCCACCAGAGCTCCCCTCCCATTTTTTATTTTAAAAATCTCCTTGTGCAAGTTACTTAATCTCTTCCGATTTTTTCCCTGTAAACAAGATGTAAATGATAAATAAGTAAATCTATATTTTATATGTATACCTAGATTTATTTTGTTCTCTCAGGGCTAGGGATTTTGAACATTTCTTCATGTGCTTGTTGGCCATCTGAATGTCTTCCTTG